AATATTAAGGATAATTTGACTCTTTCGTATCAAATTATGAATGGTCTTAGAGAATCTAAAATCACGGGAACTCCTGATGAATATGTGGATCTTTATTCAAGTAAGTTTATACGGGTTTATTATAAATTTATTATATGTGTATAGTAATTACATTAATGTCGATTACATATTCGTTAGAATGCTGGGATGGCGATCCGGAAAAACGTCCAGATATTCATCAAGTTTTCGAATCTCTCGACAATATGGACATATCTATTGTAGCTAACGATCTTGGAAATACCCTGAAAATACATGATGAGCATTCTTCGCCTGATGTGTCGCATGATGAAACCGATCGTCTGGATAGTTTGAATCTTTTTGCTGGCGGTGAAACAATCAACAACTCTAACGACGCTCATTCGACGATAAGCTCTGCTACATCGAATGATGTAACTGATTTTGTGATGCAATTTAAAAACGGAATTTTTTATTCCAACGATAGAACACAGAAAATACCTCTCCAAATGGGTACAAAAACTAGTACTTGGTTGCGGATTACTGTTAACCGCTGTGAAGATAATTTTAGTATATCAAACGTTCGCATGAATAACCGAGTATTGGAATTCAGCATGAATTGTTTTATTACCTGTCAGGGGTTAAAGTTCCGAGTTATACCCAGAGGATTGCAAAATGTCATACTTGAGGTATCCAGGTTTATTGGATCAGATAGAGGAACAAATTTTTCTATATTGAGTTTTGACCCAATAGATAATGTAAAGCTTATAATTTTAAATGAAGAGGATTGGCATTTTAAATTTGATATTCCCGAAGGCTTGGCTTTTAAATTTAAAGAGTTACAAGAAAATAGAATCTTATTTAAATTATTTCGTAATGAGGTTGGCGATCAATTTCTCAAACAATTACTAGATGATGTAGTGTCTAGAATTATAGTTAAAGTTTTAGAAGCTTATTTCGAAGAAGAATCCTTTCTTTCTACTCAATTTACCAAATTTGCGGATAATCTTGTTCCTAACAGTACAGATGAAGCCAGGGAAACAATTATAGAGATGCTTGTTAAGGACCGTATTCCTGATTTTAAAAAGAATATTCGAAATTTCTTGGTTTCCTTTTTCGAGGAATGTTGCATTTATTTGCTAAAGGAAGAAAATCCAACCGAAATTTCTGCATATGATACTTTCTTGCAACATCTTGAAATGGGAAATAATTTAATAATTAAGTCTACCCTCAATAACAAACGAGATCGAGTTTGGACTTTAGATATAGGTAACATCCATGCAGATTACGTATAGAAAAATTTGAATATTAAAAAAAAAAAAAATTATTTCGTATTTTTTAGAATTAGTATAGCTATTGAGTGTGTTGTTCTTATGTAAATAAATAGTGTCATCCTTAACGGTAAATGTTAATAAAATAAACTGCACCTTTACTATTATAAATTTTAATTTAATATAGCCTACATTGCTGGCACACGTACAATATACTACAAGTACTTGACTTGAAAAGGGGGAATGTACGTAATACGTAAGACGTATTAAGACTATAATTATGAATAAAGATGAATTTGATTAATTAATTAATTTCATTGCGGGTGAAAATACTGTATTTACTGTATTTCTTAAATTTAAATTTGTAAATACAAAGACAAAAAAAAAAGAAAAGAATAAAGGTCTGGAAATGTATGCATGCATCGGGAATACTGTAGTAAGAAGTTATTAATATATCGGTCATAAGGATTTTTTGATAAGTTAACATAATTTTGAAACTAATAAAGTTTAGGTTTTTACTTGATTCCTCAAATGGAACCACTGTTTTTTTTTTGT